TACTTGACATCTGATTTTAACCGATTCTTACCTTGTATCTGATTTTAATAGATTCTTACCTTCTATCTTGTTTTAATTGATTTGTGTTGGATAATCGATTTTAATGGATTTTTAAATTTTAATCGATTTTAATCATTAGCATCGAAAATAAGCGCTTTTCTCGAGATTCGAACATGGAACCCTATTTTTTAATGATTTTTTTCGAGAGCTCATCGAGAAATTATCATAGGGCTTCAGCTCTACAAACATAGTAAATTTGGAACTCCTATATAAATTGAATCAATTGAGATTGCGCAATTACATAAATAATCGATTAAAATCGATTACAATCCAGATTAATCAATTAAAATCGATTAAAATTTATTACAGTTTTAATCGATAATTTGGGTTCCTTAAAAAAGTAGTTAGCGCAATCGTTGTAGAAATAAAATGTGAAACACAACCAAACCCATTCTCATTGACATCATGCAAACTGAAAATTCCATATATATTATGACATATTTCTGTCACTCTTCGCTTTGAACCAAAGAATTTCAAAAAGAAAACACTCACGAAATATTCCAGTTAAATGTTACTCATACATGCATCCTGAGAGTTCCTTGAAGGCGGATCTCACAGTTTGCACTGAATCGTAAACCTGTCTCACATGGTCCGTGACGGGTACAAACCCTATTTTCAATGTTCTGGATGTATGTGTGTGGGAGGAGGAGAAGGGAGGTCACGCGCTGAATTTCTACCCCATTTATATCAACAATCTTTTCATATTCTGTTTCACAATAAACGATTATTTCGAATTTTCTAAAAATAATCTATTTTAATCGATTACCAGCATTAATCAATTACAATCGATTAGACTTTTAATCGATTATTTCGAATTTTCTGAAAATAATAGATTTTAATCCATTACTATCATTAATCGATTAAAATCAATTAGATTTTTAACCGATTATTTTGTATTTTCTAAAAATAATCGATTTTATCCGAGTACCAGCATTAACCGATTAAAATCAATTAGATTTGTAATCGATTATTTTGCATTTTCTAACAATGATCGATTTTAATCGATGACCAGCATTAATCGATTAAAATCAATCAGATTCTTAATCGATTCTTCTGATTTTTCTAAACATAATCGATTTTAATCGATTATCAGCATTAATCGATTAAAATTAATTAGATTTCTAATCTATTACTTCGAATTTTTTAAAAATAGTCGATTTTAATCGATTAACAGCATTAATTGGTTAAAATTGATTAGCTTTTTAATCGATTATTTCGAATTTTTTAAAAATAATCGATTTTAATCGATTACCAACATCAATCGATTAAAATCAATCAGATTTTTAATCGATTGTTCTGATTTTTCTAGAAATAACCGATTTTAACCGATTATTAGCATTAAATGATTAAAATTGATTATTTCGAATTTTCTAAAAATAATCTATTTTAATCAATTTTTACCTAAGTTAAATCGAATATAATCGATTTTTTACACGAATTTAATCAAAATTGCTCCTTTTAATCGATTTTTTCCGATTTTTCTCCGAAAAACCAATTTAAATCAGATTTTTAGGCTGTTTTTTTTTACATGGGCAGAACGCCCGTCAATTAAGTTCCTTAAATATAAAATCTTTTATAGTTATAAACCATAATTCCTATTTTCTTAAAAAGGATATGGTTTTTGATCGATTATATTTGTAATCTATTATTTTGGATTTTATAAAAAAATTCGTTTTAATCGACTCTTACTAATAATCGATTAAAATCGGTTAGACTTTTAATCGATTATTTCGGATTTTTTGAAAATAATCGATTTTAATCAATTACCAACATTAATCGATTAAAGTCGATCAGATTTTTAATCGATAATTTAGGATTTTTTGAAAATAATCGATTTTAATCGATTCACCAAAGTAATCGATTAAAGTCGATTAGATTTTTAATCGATTTTTTTGAATTTTCTAAGAATAATCGATTTTAATCGAGTTTTAGCTGTGTTAAATCAATTATAATCAATTTTTTACACGAATTTAATCAAAATTGCTTCTTTTAATCGATTTTTCCAGATTTTTCGCAGAAAAATCAATTTAAATCAGATTTTTAGGCTGTTTTTTTTACATGGGTACATAAATGTCTGTATATATAATAAAAAATAAAGCTTAATTAAAAAAAGGACTCTGTGATACCCTGCATCTCGACGCGCTCTTTCAAACAAAAAAAAATTTAATATATTGAAAGACACTGGACCGAGAAATCTTGGGCAAAAGATCATAAAATCGCAGACTGAGAAAAAACGAAAAACATTTTTCGTTTTTTTAAAAATAAGCATAGTTTTCAAGAAGAGGTTGACGAAAATCATCAAAATTTTTAGCCGAAAGAGGGGTGTTGGATAAAAAACCATATCATTTCTAAAAGATCTGAAGACGGGCTATCTTATGCATTTATCTCAATTTCGGAATTTGTGACGAAAATTGACTTTTTTGAGTAGGGGAGGGGGCCTTAAAATCGTATGATTATAATCGATTTTTAATCAATTATTTCGTGATTTTTTGAAGAAATTTTTTTTACATGAATAGCTGTTAAATTTATTCAAATAAATATGTTTTTTTTGTATTAATTAATTTTATTTAATACGAGGCTCAAGTGTTGGGAGCTCATTTGTCGGGAGCTCAGCTGTCGAGGGCTCAACTGTCGGGAGCTCAACTGTCGGCGCACCATACATCTACATAGAAAATAAATCTTATTAATTTTGTTCGACTTGTTCTTTTATTTGATGAAACATCTGATGGTGTTTGTCAATGGAAATGTTTATGGTTCAACACTCTGCATCATTGTATATAAATATAATAGATTTTTTAAACATTCTATCAAAGTAATAGTTTATTTTCTTGCTTTCTACATTTGTCAGTTCGTATAATAGATAAGACAATTCAAGGCTTTTTATTTTTTGTTGAGTTTGTTATTGTCCCTTTAACTTGTCACGTAATACACTAACATGATATTTTGTTGTTTCTGTTCAATTATAAACATTACGTGTTTCTTTTTCTTCTTTCTCATTGACATATTTATTAGGACTGGAAAAAATGCGTTGTTATAATTTTTAACTGAGAAAATCAATAATTCTGAAAATAGGTGGATACTATCAAGAGTTATTACGGATGAAAGAGGCTAATAGTTTGCAGAAAGTTCAAAAATTCTGTCAGAACGTGTTTTCATTCTCGAAGTGCTAAAAGTGGTGATCCGAAGGATGCGGAGAAGAATAAAACTCACCGTGATTTGGACCCTCCCACAACAGACAACCTGCCACTGCATCGCCTCTCTCCCGCAGTCTGCCTCATCCTATTCACCTCTTAACGACATTGTCTATTTATCTTTATATCACTTTCTATCGGAGAAAGACAAGCAGTGTTTTGAAGCCCGATTTCTGTTTAAAGTTATCACGAAGCTGTAAAAAATTGGCAAAGAGTGTTAACAATTTTCACAGAAAATTGCACAGTATAGGAGACGAAAGCTATCCATCCAACTATATCAAGAACCCTGGTAACACACCTTAAAAAGATGGTGATGAGTATCTATCCTTATTTAGGCCGATGATTTCGACACTTGATTCATTGATTTTTCTGTCGGTTTCAGTTGGAAAACTGTAGGAAAAGTCAGACCATGGGTACGAGAATGCTCTGTTCGTTTTTGAGAAAAAATTATGCTAAGAAGCGGTTGAAAATTAATAAAATGCTGCAAGAATTCAGTCTTAGTGTCGTATTTTTGCTGTCATTGTTCAGCCATTTTCGTAGTTTTTCGGTAAGATTCAGCTACACAGTGTTCCCTTGTGGCAAAAAGTTTGCATTGTCAATATTTTTTTATACCATTATATTGTAAGATTTATTCAGAAAAGAGTGCTCTATTCATCAGGAGAACATATATACAAGAATATAAAGTTAAAAAGTTTGTGATTAGTTGAAATAGTCTAATGGTCGATAAAAAGTTTATTTGATTGAGAGTTCGATAATTTCGATTTGAAATATCAAAAAAATAGGAATTATGTATTAAAAGTGAAGTAATGATGACGTTGATGACAATTATTGCCCTTATACATGTTTGATGCTATTAGATAAGAGATTGTGAAATGACAGTAATGATATGTGACACTAAAGCGAAGCTGTCATCTTCAAAGTCTTTTTAGCGACACCAAACACATCATAAATTTCGTTTTCAAAAAATAGATACATTCAATTTTAATTTCGAAAAAAAATCGACTTTGTTCCTTTGTTCCAATCAGTTGAAAATGTCACATACGTAATTGTTACTTTTGAAAATCACAAAAGTCATCATATTTAATTTGTTAATTTAATCATTTGAGTCAGGAATAATTGCCTCTGACAATATATAAGAGGCGGAATTTTCAGAGAATTTTCAATTATATCTCATTATCAAAGGATTCTGATAGCAAAGAAAAAAAATTATCGATAGATCTCGATGACTTTTGGTTCGAACTATTATTACTAAAGATTTGTCGAACGTTGAACAGAAGAAAATAACAACATTAGAGTGAAGCCAAGAGAAATCATACATCATAATTTTATGATAGAATCAAAATAGAATGATAAATTGTCATCTGAGAAACATCTTTTCCCAAATAATATATATATATAATTTTCTACATGTTTTGAACTGATAATTTCAATATGAATACAAATAATATTTGAAAATCATTTAATAATTCGGCTATAACAAGTTATATAAAGCTGGAGCCGAAAAAAATATATATGTCTTGTTAAGCCATAATATTTATTTTCGACAAAAATCTCAAAATGAATAAGACAAATTTTCGAAAAGTATATTTCAATCGAGAATATCAGTTTCATAATGTGAAAAACAAAAGCATAGAATAAATGTAATCGCATAATGATAAGCAAATAGATAAGTTCTTTAAAGAAAATCATGTTATTTACTCAGTCAAGCATTGATTTTGTAAATATTCAGAAAAATTTTCATGTCCAATACTATGAAGAATATCGGAATTCAGCAGGAATACGTTTTAATACATCAAAATTTTGCTTAGGAGGAAATATTATTTTCTTAAATTGTTGCTTGTACAGTGATGATGGTACAATGAAAATTATAAAAATTGATGCTGCTGGAATGAATGAAAGAAAATAACCGATAAGATAGAACCAAAACAAGTTAGATGATTTGTTGCAATCTAATATAATTGAAATGATTAAATGAGGTAATGTTAAAACTACAATAATAGTAGGACTAATTATAAGATGTTTATATTGTTTTAATTTGATTATAAGATGGGCCATGAAAGTACGATCAGTTTTACTGAGTGATCGTTGACGAGTACTTGCTATAATGATGAATAGAGTTGAGGATAAATTGATACATAATGGAGCAAAATAATGAAAAAAAATCAAAGTTAAACTATACATTTGTAGCCATGGGGAATAAGTGATAACACACCAACTTCGTTCTTCCATTTTATCTTCAAATACACGAAGATTAAGTAGTTGTGGAATGAATAGACTGGATATGATAAGAGGTAATAATATCACCATATATTTAGCAACTCGTTTGCTTTTATTCTTATTAAAACTAATTCCTTGATATACAGACACTGTTCGTTCTATAGCTACACAAGCATTAAACCAGTTATCTATGTATAAAATGATTTTTAGTAGAGATTCAATACATATGCAATTAATATTAAGAATAACTTTTTGGCCATATTGACTAAAAAGATCTTGATGAGAAAGAAAAAGAAACCAAAATTTAAGTGTAAATAAGATCATAGTTGATAATGAAGTGATTGATGATGCCAAGAGATATATTCCACAGCCGACTTCTCGTGTATTCTTTCTTGAAAAAGTTATTATTGATAAAATACCATTAATGACACCTATTACAAATATCAACATTGTGACAATAGCACTCACTTTTATTCTGAAAGATTGTTTAGTTAATATTGTATTATTTTTAAATTCATAACCTAAGATTTCATCTAATGTTGAACCGATACCTTTCGCATAAAATTGACATTGATTACCGAAGAAACATTGAGAACATCGACAAATTCTTGTCGATGGACAAGATGGATGATCTTGTAAACAGTGTGCTCCATTTTTACAATCATTTTCTAATGGACATTGAAAATCTCTATAACGAATGAATTTCAAACAATTAGCATGATGATCATTTGTGCACAAACATAAAAAGTCTTCGTCAACGAAACAAGTCAAATCATGATGTTCTCCACAAAGAGCATAGTAAAATACAATTCGTTCATAGCGATGCTTTTTCAATACTGTAGAATTGAATAGTTGTTCGCTAGGAACACATTCTTGTGCGGGACTAATCGATGTTGAAATCTCTATCTTTGGAGATTGTTGAAGTACAGCAAGATAATATTTGTTATTGATTTGAATAATCATCATATGATATGGCACCGAAATATGGAAAGTAACAATATGTTGAAAGAGAGTCAATTTTCGAAGTATAATTGTATTGATTGGATGAGATTCATTTAATAGCGTGAAGAAATAAGCTACGACATGTGATGGAACATTGATAATATTCAAAGAAACATCCACTTTAGATTTTGAAAATTGACAGTTTGGTCCAAAAAATCGATCTGGACAAATACAAGTATAAGCACTTCCGGGAATATTCACATCAGCTGGTACACATTGGCCATTATTTTGACAAGCATTGACTGGACATGTTGATTCGATTAGACATCGTGGACCAAACCTGCCTAAAGGACATACGCATATTGATTGATTTTTTGATGATCCTATACATATCGCACTGGACAAACATGACTGACAATTCAGAGGTATATTACATTGAATGCCTGACCATCCAGAAAGGCATCGACAAAAATATTTTTCTTTGTTCAAGTATTTTATACACTCGCCATTCTTACAAGTAATCGCACAATTCGACGAAGTCTGAACTAGATGATTCGATATTTCCAATGAAACAGCTAGTCGATTGACAGGCAAAAAAAGAAAATCAATAGAGAAATGCCAACTTCCAACATATTTTAATTCATTTTTTTTGAATACATCGATACGTACATTGTAGTTCTTGGAAACATTTTTTGGTCGTGTTGAAAATAATAAATATCGATTCAATTTAATACTACAACTTTGTTTTGCTATGTATACAAATTGATCATATGCATCAATCTCTTGACGTTTATCATCATCATCAATCAACATAATGACAATAGCATAAGTAGCCAGTCTATCAACTGCTGTCAATCGTAATGTTAAACTAATTCGTTGATTTTGATACTGACACAGATTACCATAGTAACTAGGTGGACACATACATGCCTTCTTATCACTGTTGTTTTCATTCCAAATACGAACAACGAGTCCACGATTGCAATACCAAGGCCATGATTTTTTCTCAACTCGAGATACATTAACATTTATATTAGGACGCGGACTTACTGGCCATTGAATCATTTCATTGGTGACACTTTTCTCTAATAAAGGATACATGGATGAAGTATCCAAAGAAGGATACACATATCTGTGATTTTCATCATCATTCCGTCCACAGAGAATCTCTTCAACTTCACTATAGCTATGTGATGAACCTTTTCTACATTTAATTTGATGAGCAGGACAAATATCTTCATCTTCACCATCAGAACAATCTTCGTTGTCGTCACATAATTTAGATGGTTCTAGACATTCACCTGTATCTGAACATTGGAAGCGCATAGAAGTGTCGATCGACGAATATCGGTATCTACATCTAAATTGTTCATCTGTTGCTCCAAAACAATCAATACTGTTATCTTGAATACGGTCCCGAGGCAAGCAAATCACTGTGTAGTTGAGAGGAGATACACATGCGAGAATTCCTGGAGGACAATTTCCTGGGTTACAATTGTATTCATCTCTTCCATCAGCACATGCCCAAAAACCATCACAACGTGCATACATATTGTCACACCATGCAGGTTTACACTCGTACTCCTCATTACGTTCTGTACCATTATCATTCATGAAACGGTATGCGGGGATACCATTACAGAAACTTTGAAATGGAATTTCTTCTGCATATTGTACGTCGCTCCGAGAACAGGGTTCAGATTTCCGTAGAGGAGACAAACACTGGTTTGTATGGTGACATCTCACTCGATATCGATCGTTAAGTAAGCAGCCATTTTGATTGTTCTCATCGTCTTCCTCAGGACAATCGGGTACGCCATCTAAGATGCGATGTTTAGAAATCAACTTAGATGAGTTTTGACATTGATATAATGATGGATGATTGCTATAATTTGTTTTGCTATGAAAGATAAGAGAAGAAATCAAGCAAGGATGAAATCTATGTTCAGTTTCAACTACAAGGTACATCCAACCATTCTCTTGTATATAACTGTCAGATAACAATAAATTATCCTGAAGACAAGTGAGATTTCCATGAACTAATCGAGGTGTGATAAAATCACATAGTTGTTGATCATAGCAAACGTAATCGGGTATAATAAACTCACTTGAGTTTTGTCTCATATGAACATTTTCATAAAAGAAACGAACATGACCGGAATAAACTGGAATAGTTGGAAATTGGAAGAAAGGATCACATTGTTCAAGAAACTCATCAGTTGAATTGCTCATTCGCCATGTTTCACACGACGTTCCATTAACTTCGTTGAGAAGTCTAGTCAGACAGACCATAGCAATCCAGCATTTGTCTGTTAAGTTGCCTTTAGTTGCCATTTGGTTAACGTCTAATACGTGACGACCATTATGACAGGTTTTCAACCTATATACACATTGCCCATCTCCACATGGGAATGCTTCGTCATTCGCTCTGCAAGTATGTTCTTCACAGCGAAATGTTGGATCTTGAAAACAGGACTTTGGATAGAAGACTTCTGGTGTTTCATCCGACCGATCGGAACAATCTGCATCGCCTTTGGCTTCTTCCCAGAACTCATGTGAAATGCATAATCCATTATGGCATCGATATTGATTATCTCCACACTCATTTATTTCCATATCGAAGCAAGACTCTTCATCAATACCATCATCAAAACAATCAATAACTCCATTGCACACTTCCCGCCAATCAAGACACCAAATCTGTCCATAATTATGACATTTTAGAAGAACATAACACGGTACCTGGACCATTATATCAGACGACTTGTCGTACGACGTTCTGCTACCAAATGAATTTAAAACAAAGTCGTCAAAGGACCTGTGTTCATCGAACTCAAACGAATATTGACATTGGAGACCAAACCATGGCTCAGTACAATTGTAGAAATGCTTGTTCAATAACGGATTCAGTCCATTCAGATACAATTTATATTGTTCAGCTATATCAATCGGAATCGACCATGAGAGAAGTTGCTGTAAGGTGATGTTTGCCAGATGTAGGTCTTGAAAACTTAAATTTTGAGAGAGTGGATTGACAGAAGCTTGTAGTAAAAGTCCGTCGTTATGATTTGCTAGACGAAAACAATATGGAATGATTTCATTGATTACATCTCGTAATTCTTGATAAGCCAATTTGTCAGAGTGGTAGATATTATAATTCAAGCAATTAAATTGTAAATCATTGTGTTTTATTGTCTGATCAGTATTATAAAGATTCAATCGACAAGTAATAGTCGTCCATCGAAATAAAATTATGAGAAGAAGTTGAAAAACTATTGTACTTTGTGCAAACAAGATTCTATTTCCCATCGATCGACTTGTTTTTTTGTATTCTCATCAATTTCAACCGTAAAGAATTTCTGTAGTTCAGAAATATTTAGATTAAAACATGTTTATCGAGAAAAAAAAATTTTCTGCGTTAAAGTACCGGTATATGAACAGATAACATCATTGGTGGTTCGTTCTCTTTCTCTATCAGAGATAAGAAAAACATTCAAAAGAGAATAAAAACACGTTCAAACAACTAATGAGCGTGATAAAATGATGATGAGAATCTTATGATAATACACAGTTATAGATGTTGTAGAAAAAAAACTTCGACATTGATTATTTATCTTTGCATTTACACTTCGTGCTATATTAATAGTTTGTAGAATAATGATTAAAAGTCACAAATTGACAGGTACCTGGCATAAAAGCAACGATTCTAGCCACAAAACCTGTACTTTCTAAAAAATACAAACATTATACAGATCCAGTCGATTTTCTCACGAGAAACTGTTCAGTTATATTCAGACGTAAGTGAAGTTGGCCCCAGATTCGAGTAAGTTCTGCCCCGATTCACCAAGGAACTTGTTCCAAATGGAACTCGATGAGCTCTATCTTATGGTATGATTTGATTTTTTATAACTTAAATTCGATGGTCAAAAATTCCAAAATACCTACTCTATAGCGTATAAGTGATGCATCGCCTACCATAGATCCTGTCCCGATTCGTTTAGGAATTTGTTCCAAGGCGTGCATTCATGTTCGAAGTACAAGTCGATGATCTCTATTGGAAGTATAACTTGATGTTGGATAGCCAACTTTATGTTGCCGAAACTCTGAAAATAGTTTTTTTTGCCATGCGATCGTCGAGTCCGCCATTATGAATCCAGCATCGAGTATCTAGGAGTGTTGTTCCGAGACTGCCATTCTTCTTCGTAGTAGGCCTCGAGGAACTGTATCCAGTAGTCGTATCAGCATTTAGGTAGTAGAAACTATGTCGCGCGAAACGTGGAAATACTGGTTTTCTTGGCATTGAAACCATGAACTTGCCACAGTATATCCGGTACTGATTCAACTAGGTACTTTTCCAAAAGCTCCTATGCTTGTTCGAAGTAGAAATCGATGAGCCCTCTCTGATGGTATTATTACATTTTACATAAGTGAAGAAATGTTTCTGGGATTTAGAAAATACTGGTGCATCTCTATAGAAGACTATAGGCCAGTAAAATAGGTATTTTGGAGTTTTTGACCACATAGTTTGAGCTATCGAAAATCTAATTATACCATTGGACAGAGCTCATCGAGCTTTACTTGGAACAAGCATAGGAGGTTTGGAACAAGTTCCTAAGCGAATCGAAGCAGGATTTACTCGTAACTGAGGCCAACTTCACTTACGTTATATTCAGTACTTTTTTCTATTATTATAATTGATTTTTCTTTGTCATTAAATATTTATGAACTTGTTCTCCATAGAGTAGAGAATTCAACAATAAATAAGTCGAAATTTTAACTTTTGTTTTTGTGAAAATTTCCCCTCGGGATTTGTTTATGAGTGTTTTGGATTTGTATGAAACACAATAAATCACTTGCAAGCACCGGATTTTTTTCTTGTGCAAACGTTTGAGGGTCAACCAGAAGAAAAGACAAATGGTTGTTTAACAACCAACCATTTCGTGAAGTATGTGCTGTCTACTTTTACGATTTCCTTCCTTAAGAAAATTTTCAAAAAGGTAAAAAATGTATTGGAACGTAGGTTATGTTAGGTCCAGATTCGAGATTTTTTTCGGACCAATACGCCTACGAAAATGTTCCAACAAAAACAGTCATGTTCTAACGAGGAAAGTGCCCGAAGTGTCCCCTCGACTTTGAGCTTATATTTTTCTCACAAGTAGGCCACACTGTCAATCGCCAAAACCTAAAAGGATTCGTGTCCATGGGCTGTTGAAGCTGACTGATGACCAATTCATTGGATTTTCAATTTCAGGCAAGACACTCATAGAAAAGCCAAAATATGGTATTTTGAACTGAAATTTTGCCCACGAATAGACCTCATGATTATTGGAATGTTCTAAAACTTTCAGTCAAAATGGATGCTTCATCCTTAAGAGAGGGTACATGAGAGAACCGAGGATCGCTCCAGTATACGAGACACTGGTCAAAATTTAAGTTTTTGATTTTTTATGTGCATTCGAAAGAGCGTCATCTAAAACCACCAAACCGAAATTTTTAGCTCATTTGGATATATTATAGTAAAGTTAGCCTGGATGGACTTTTTAGCACTACCAGTCGATTGTCAAAAAAATAATCAAAATTTTCTCAGAGATATTTACTGACAATGGAGGTGTTTGTACTGTCAGTTAAAGAGATGGCACATATTCGCGCCAAATGAAAGCTCTCATCGTCAACCTAACAAGGTTAAAATATTAGCGGCCATTGGCTTGCCTAGAGAGAGATATTCGATTTCTACCGTACTCATGGTTTAGGTATACAGGAACATTAGGATTATTTACATTAATTTTTTATGAAATCAACTAGGTATTTCAATATTAGGCGTCAAGAATCTTCCTGAGATTTATCAATAGCAATAGTATCATATTAGTTTCGATATCTTCTTGAACTTAAATAGTATCGTAATGAGAAATAAGACATATGATGTGTTGGAAAAATCACTTGTACGTATAATTTGAAATTAAAGTGCATTGATGCATCACCTGGTGATCTATTGACCATTCCTTTGCGATTGGTTTTAAGACATCATAAAGAAATATACTATCGAAGAATTATTCTCTTTCGTTCTTTGCTGTGTCTACCGAGTAAAAAAGATTTATTTCATCAAATTAAAACATGAATTTATTGAACATTCCTAAACATCTTCTCCATTTGGCTCAAACTGAATTTGGATCTGGAAATTCTGCAACAACTACCAATGAAATGTTTGCTGCAGAACGAACGTAGGTGAAGTTAGCCTTATATTCGAGTAAATCCAGTCGATATTCGTCCAGGAAGCTGCTCCAGCTGCACCAGACAGCGCCAGAATAGAACTCGATGAGCTCTATCGATTGGTAACTTTGGATTTTCCATAGCTCAAACCAGTCGTGAAAAAATCCCAAAATACTAATTTTTTCCTATGCAAATCTTACCATATGGTTAGTAAATTCAGCTAATATTCGTCCAGGAAGCTGCTTCAGTTGCGCCAGACAGCTCCACAATAGAACTCGATGAGTTGTATCGATTAGTAACGTTGGATTTTCCATAGCTCAAACCATTTGTGAAATAATCCGTGTGCCAAGAGATGCATTAATCCAACATTTCACTATCTGTGTTTCACATTATTCTTACATTTTATC